AAAGAATGTTTCATAAGATCCTTGGCCTAATTACCCTGAGTAATATATTTTAAGCCTATTTATTCATTCTTTTAGAACCCTGAACCCTTGACCTACATTACATACCTTAAAAAGTCTATTTTGATGAAATGTGGACACTTGAATTGAAAACTTATGTCCTTAAAAATTTATATACACTTGTTATTTGGCAAAATGTTACCAAGTTTTCATTGTTAGAAAATATAACTCTAAAGTAAAAACTCAAAAAAAGTAGTTTAGAGCTAGAGCCACTCTTAAAACCCTAAAAGAATTTTAGAGTTCTAAGATTTTATCCAGAATAAAAAGTCATGATGCAAAACATTTTAAAGACTTTACATTTCACCAAAAAATAAAAATAAAAAATCAACCTTTTTATCTTCCCAAATCTTTTTCGAAAAATAATGATTAGTTTTGACACACATTAAAGTATGTTTTTAATAAAAAAAAATGTTTTAGAAAAAAGATTTCTTTTGTGAGCCTAAGAGTAATCCTTGCAACCTTTGTCGAATTTTCCTTGAGATATATCCACCAATGAAAAGAATTGAATAGTCAATTACCCTCATCCCCAAGCATTCCAAATGGTAATCATCAATTTTTAAGAGAATCAAAGTCATGAGTTTTCAACTTTTCTCATTGATTACGAAGATATTTTATATGAAGGAAATTTTATGATCATTTTTGAAAAGTTCAAAAATTATTTAAGTATTTTGTATAGAATATTGAGATCATTGTTATAGAGAGCAAACATTCAATCAGTTTAGGAAACACATGCCATAATGAAGATCTAAGCTTTATAGATGGAAAAGAGAATTGAAACTGAAACTATTGAAAAGAACATAGCTTTTTAAGCTCAAAACTCTTTAAAGCCTTTATTTGTTCCTCATAACTGAAAAGCTTTTTGTTTTCTAAGTAAAAAAAAAAAACCCACATTTCTAATACAACATTCAGCAAGTTAGTCCATAAGGCAGCTTGAAGCTCTAGTATGTAGTAAAAATAGGCATCGAGACCTCTATTATATAACCATGTCTACAAACTGTTTTATAAACTTTGAAAGGACATTACTTAGGTTTTTGGCCACTCAAGTCCTATGTAAATAGAAAAGTAGCTTTTTTATGCTTAAAAACTTATGTAGAGAATATAAAAGATGTTTATACCCAAACCTTGCATGAAAAAGAACATCAAAGCTAAGGTAAGCATGAAAGATATTTTATGCATGTGAAATGCCTGAAAAAAGATCAAAAGAACTACCTTTTCTTAAGTTTTTCAAAGGTTTTGACCTTCTTTCTTTTTGGCAAAATTTCCTATTTCTGATAAGGTTTTCATTTTCTTTTTGTGTTTTGTTTTTTTTTTTTTTAGCTAAAAGACCTTTTTATTTTTTAGCTATTAGCACATTGCCTTTATCTTTTTTTTTAAAAAAAAAAAAAAAACCCCACCAAACTGCTAAAAACCTTTCCTCTTTTTTTTTTTTTCTAGCTTACATTTTCTGTTTTTTCTCGGCTCCTCGGACCTTTTCACTTTTTTAGCTACTTGAACTCTTTTTTTTTTTTTTTGCTACTAAAAACCCTCGCTACTCTTACAAACCATTTTTTTTTTTTTTTATATTAGCTTCCAAGAGGTCCTTTTATGCAAACACCCCATTCTTGTGAAAAATCAAATGGGTATTTTTGGCATTTTCCTTTCTTTTACTTTTTTATTTTTTTTACCTACTAAAAACCCCTTGCCTTCGATTATATCGACCTTCAACCCTTATATGCATACTTTCATGTAAACTAAAAGGGTTTCCCAAAAGTGAGCTTTCTTTCTTTTTCTCTTTTTTTTTGGGCTTCTCTATAATGGGCTCTTTTTCTTTTTCTATTTTTTTTTTTTTTTGGTTTTTGGCTTCTTCCCAAAGGGCCAAGTTTTGGGCCATTAAAAAAACCAACTTTGGGTCTTTGTTTAGGTCATAGAATGGGTTGTATTATGGGCCACGTTGGAGATTATAAATGGGCCATATTTAGCTTGTAATTGGGCCATATGATGGGCTCCAAAAATGAAATTTACTCAGTTGGGCCCTGAAATCCTACTAACCTAAAATCAAATTAAATTGGCCTTTATCAATGCAAAAACATGCTCGAATATTTAATACGACATCAAAACACTCAAATTGATCAAAATTGAGATGTCGAACCTAGACTACAATTGAACATGATTAAATCATTTTGGACAAAATTAGGTGTCTATACTTAATAATAAATCAATGATAATTTAATAGTAAATTAGTAAAACTTAAAAATAAATCAGTTTGAATTTAATTAATTGATAAACTTAGTAGTAAATCATTAACAACTTGTAGTAAATTAATGATAATTTAGTTGTTAATTATTAGAAACTTTAAAGTAAATTAATATAATTTAGTAGTAGTAAATCATTGATAACTTAATAATAAATCATAGATAATTTAATATAAATTAATGATAACTTGGTAATGAATTATAATTAATTTAATAATAAATCTATGATAATTTTGTAGTAAATAATTAAAAAATAAGTAGTAAATCAATGACAACATAGTAGTAAATACATAATAACATAATAGTAAATAATTTATAATTTAGATGTAAATTATTAATAACTTATTAGTAAATCAGTAATAATTTAATTGCAAATCAATGATAATTTAATTGTAAATTAGTAATAATTTTACAATAAATTAGTTAATCATTGATAACTTTATAGTAAATTATCAATAAATTAATAGTAAATTATTTATAATTTTATATTAAATTTTCAGTAACTTAGTAGTAAATTATCAATAATTTATTAATAAATCATTCATAACTTTGTAGTATTTCAATACTAATTTAATAGTAAATCATTGATAATTTAATAATATATCATTAATAGCTTAGTAGTAAATTACTGACAAAATGAACCTGTCAATGCAAAAACGAGCCCGAATATATAATACAAAATCAAAACAATCAAATTGGTCAAAATTGATATGTCCGAACCTAGACTACAATCGAACATTGATTAAATCATGTGTTTACACTTAATAATAAGTCAATGATAATTTAATAGTAAATTGATAATAACTTAATAGTAAATCAATTTGAATTTAATTAATTGATAAACTTAGTTGTAAATCATTAACAACTTAGTAGTAAATTAACAATAATTTGTAGTTAATTATTGGAAATTTAAAAGTAAATTAATATAACTTAGTAGTAGTAAACCATAGATAACTTAATAGTTAATCATTGACAACTTAATAATCAATCATAAATAATTTAATATAAATTAGTGATAACTTAGCAATGAATCATTATTAATTTAATAACAAATCTATGATGATTTTTTAGCAAATAATCAAAAACTATTTAGTAAATTAATGATAATATAGTAGTGAATACATAATAACATAATAGTAAATCATTTAATAATTTAGATGTAAGTTATTGATAATTTAGTAGTAAATCAATAATAATTTAGTTGCAAATCAGTGATAATTTAGATGTAAATCAATAATAATTTTGTAATAAATTAGTTAATCATTAATAACTTTATAATAAATTATCAATAAATTAATAATAAATTATTTATAATTTTATATTAAATCATTAGTAACTTAATAGTAAATTATCAATAATTTATTAGTATATCATTCATAACTTAATAGTACTTCAATATTAATTTAGTAGTAAATCATTGATAATTTAGTAATATATTATTGATAGCTTAGTAGTAAATCATTAATAAAATAATAATAAATTAATGATAACTTAATTGTTAATCATTGATAAATTTTTTATACTTGAAGTTGTTAGGAATTGAATTTTAGTTATTAGCAAAAACAAAGCTACAAATTAAATATTGGGAGGTTAGGATAAATTTACCATAAACCTATTAAAAAAATTTAGTGAAAAAATTTTAAATTTGATGAAACAATAATGTTATTATATAAAAAAATTTATCTTAATATAAAACTAAACCATCGCTTTCTTGCGAGAATTCATTATTAAATATATAATGACACAAATTTTATCAATAATTACTAAAAGTATATCATAAGGTATCAAAAAATTACTAAAATTAAATCTAAAAATTACTAAAATTTTATAAAAAATTATTAAAATTGTACCAATGATTAACAAAATTATATTATAAGTTATCAAAATAAAATCAAAAGCTACCAAAATTGTATTCAAGGTTACCAAAATTTTATCAAAAGTTATCAAAATCAAAATTATATCAAATGTTATCAAATTTTACTTATGGTATTAAATTATTAACATTTATCATTATTATCAAAAGTATATTAAAAGTTATCAAATTTTACTTATATTATAATATAATAAAAATTAAATTATTATTATTATTATTATCAAAAAATTATTTATTAAGATAAATTTATAAAGATAAAAATTACAAAAGCATCCTTCAAGACACACACACTAGTTTTAGATACTTGAAGGTTGCCTCTGTAATTTTTATCTTATTCTAAAACTAAACCCTCGCTTTCTTGCAAGAATTCATTATTAAATATATGATAACGTAAATTTTATCAATAATTACTAAAAATATATCATAAAATATCAAAAAGTTACTAAAATTAAATAAAAAAATTACTAAAATTTTATAAAAAGTTATTAAAATTGTACCAATGATTATCAAAATTATATTATAAGTTATCAAAATAAAATCGAAAGCTACCAAAATTGTATTCAAGGTTACCAAAATTTTATCAAAAGTTATCAAAATCAAAATTATATCAAATGTTATCAAATTTTACTTATAGTATTAAATTATTAACATTTATCATTATTATCAAAAGTATATTAAAAATTATCAAAATTTACTTATATTATAATAAAACAAAAATTAAATTATTGTTATTATTATTATTATTATTATCAAAAAAATTATTTATTAAGATAAATTTCTAAAGATAAAAATTACACAAGCATCCTTCAAGTATCTAAAACTGGTGTGTGTGTGTGTATATCAAATATCTATATCAAAGAGTAGTTTTATACGTTGGTTGACGGAGAAAGCTTTTAAGGTAAGAAAAAAAAAAGTTTTAATTTTTCTGGTATGGAAAACAAAAGTGAATGGTTCTTCTTCTTCATCATCTGTTTCTTCGGATTATCTCCTTGGTCCCAAGGACTCTTATTCTTCATCCACAAGTGGGATTTTTTAGACTGTTTCCCCTCCCGTCAAAGGTAAAAACCTTCTTTTAGATTCTTTCGCTCATCAATTTTTGTTCATAAATGATACAACTGTGTTGATTTTGATGGTTTAGAATGAGAAAATAAAAAAGGAAAAAGGAAAAAGGAAATGCTTTACTCTTTAGGCAACTATTTACTTGAAAATATGTGAAATTTATATGCTTGGAGGTAATATTTGATTGGCAGTTAAGAAATCGATATATAGGATAAAAGATGGTTTATTTTATTGAGTTTATACATATACATATATATTTCTTGTTCCAACTTCATGGAATTGGCTTGGATGATAATAAAAAGTTTATTGGAATTTATATATTTTAAGTGAATGATTCTTGAAAAGATGCTGAGAAAAGTTTTTTGTCCGTACATCAAGTGTTTGGTTATATTCACCTGGTCGGTAGATGCTAGCAAGTGGAGTACTTATTTTTTTTCTTTTGAATTTTTTAACTTTGCTAAGTGATTTGTCATTGATGAAAAAGAAGGGATAGGAAGTGAATGATAAGAAACAAAATCTAGGCTGATTTGTATATTCCAATACTAGTTAAGTTAGTGCTTTTGGATTAGAATGTGAGAAAAAAGTACCCTTTGGACTGTGCAAGTGAACCATACGCCAGTGACTTCTAGGTGATCTGGATAGCTTTTTTTTAATGTGATTATCCTTCTTTTTGTTCCAATGACCATAGACTTTGCTGGTCAATTTAGGTGGAATGTGCTGCAAAGGTTTAAATTGTTCTCTTTCTGATTTCAGGTGCTAGGTAGGGACTCCAGTCAATTTGGAATGATGGGTCATGTAATAATCAGGGTTTGCCCCATATGGAAAACATGGAAATCCAGATTCCCATGCCCTCTTGTACCATCCTTTTATCTTTCTTTTCTGCTAATTCTTAGATGGAGTAGCAGGAAATCTTGAGTTTTTTAAAAATTAAAAAAAAAAGAAAAAGAACAGAACACTATATAAGGTTGTTTTCACTGGATTCTCAAGTAACTGATGACATGAGAAAGATGGATGAGAGAATAGAATCTGAATCTTGCACATGTTTTGTTTTAGATCATAACACTAATAGTAAGAGAAAGCAGTTGCACAACTAATAAAGACAAGAGTACTTCATCCATTTATTAGAATGAAACAGTAGAACCTTGCTATTTCAGCTCATCTATCTACTATGGTGGCCTAGAAAAGTATTCTCCAAGGAAGACTATTGAATCTCCCCATTGTGAAAGTATAACACATTAAAATATTCATTAACTCGGACTCCTTGGTATGCCTACTTGGGAATATATTGTGTGTTTTTTTTTAGGGTATGTAGATTCTGCATCTTGCTTTCTACACATCATAATTATCATCGATTTCTCTGGTCCTGGTCTTTTGTTTTGACAGTTAAAAAAGGATGGGGGAGATGATGATCCCAAAGGAAGCAATTCTAGTGGTGCTTCAAGAGGGAATTGGTGGCAGGTATGAAAGATATGAACTTTTTATGATATATAATATACTCTTCACCATCCATAAAATGACAGCAGTATTCAACAGTGTTTAATCAATTATTCTTTGTTTTTGCAGGCTCACTTGATTACTAACATCTCAATCCAAAATACTGTAAGGTAACATCTTTATCTCTACATGCACCCTCCAGGCTCCAATTTTTATTTTATTTACATGTACCACTTCGACAATTTAATCATAGAGGATTCAATTTACAAGGGAAAAAAATAAAAGTAGAAACTTATTTTGAGGAATAATGATCAGAGTTTGAAGAATTTTCTTTTATGTTCTTAGCATAATATTTCTTCATTTAGTCTAGCATACTTCCCTTTGATCCAACTGATTGAAATTATGTTTACTGGCTATTTTGCGGGAATACTGGCGGCATGATCAATCTTATATTACTATGGAAATAAGCTGGTAGATAGCTCTGCTGTACAGTGGAAGCATATAGAGCATAATACAGCGTATGACTTTTGGAAGATTGTTGGGTTCTTTTTGTCCCAATTCTTCCACTTGAGCAAGTCTCACCCAGTAAGCTGATATATTTAGGGCATCTTGTATTTATAAGTTGCCTATGTACTGAAATATTCTCTGGAATTTTTTTGCCCACAAGGGAAATCAATTAGTATAACTATATATTGACATATATATTCTGCCTCTCCTTCAACTTGAGTTTCACTTTCAAGGTCAGATGCATTTTAGCATGTATACAATGAATGATCACAAACCTAAACCGTTTAGAAAACAGGAAAGGGGAGAGCAAAATTTTTATTTCAACTCAAAAATTGAAACGGATTATTGAAATATCCATATATTTAATTACTTCAAAGGGAAGTTATATGTCTTTAGCTGAAAAATTCCAATTAAAGTCATCGGATTGGATACCAGTTTCCATAACTCTGGTCTATTGTATAAAGGAATTGTTAGGGGCATTTGATCATATTGTATAGAGGAATTATTAGGGGCATTTGATAGTCAAAAGAGTATGATGATCTTTTCTTCTTTCAAAGCCTTTAGCAGATAATCAAGGGTATCTTTGTCATTTGTACTGACCTAATGGCCAATATCATCTTAGCTTGGCCTTGTCCTAATTGTTCTCTTATGGTTCCCTTCAACTTACCTATAAATACGAAGATTTAGGCACATGAAAGCAGGTTCATCTCCTTCATTTCTCTATCTCCTTCCCGCTTTCTTGCCAATCTGATCTTTATTGACTTGAGCATCAGAGTGCAAACACAGGGAACACCTCATGCCTTTGCCTTCAACCGTCCTTCTCTTATGCATTCACAGGGACACTCTCAAGTCAGAGTTTGGCACTAACATTTGATGCGTCAAGTAGGGGGTCTCGTATTTAGCCAATCATAAAATGTCACCAAGAAAAAAAAACCCTAAAAGAAGGAGAAATAACTCGGCCAAAAGAACTCGAACTCAGCTCAATCAAAAGAGCTCGAATCTACCAAATGCCTTCATAAAGGTCCAATTCAACAAAATAGCTCGACCAAAAAATTCGGACTCAGCTCGGCCAAAAAAGTTCAGATTTACCATATGCCTTCGTAAAGGTCCAATTCAACAAAACAGCTCGACCAAAAAGTTTAGAATCAGCTTGGTCAAAAGAGCTCAGATATATGAAATGCCTTCATAAAGGCCCAACTCAACAAAATAGCTTAGCTAAAGAGTTTGGATTCAGCTCAGCCAAAAGAGGTCGAATCTATGAAATGCCTTTATAAAGACCCAACTCGACAAAACAACTCGACCAAAGAGCTTGGACTCAACTCGATCAAAAGAGTTTGGATCCACAAAATACCTTTATAAAGGCCCAATTCGAAAAAAGTAACTCTACCAAAAAACTCAGACTCAGTTCGACCAAAAGAGTTTAGATCTATGAAATGCCTTCATAAAGGCCAAACTCAACAAAATAACTTGGCCAAAAAGCTCGGATTTAGCTTGGTCAAAAGAATTCGGATCCACAAAATATCTTCATAAATGCCCAATTTGACAAAATAACTCGACCAAAGAGATCAAACTCAACTCGGCCAAAAGAATTCGAATCTACCAATGCCTTCATAAAGGCCTAATTCAACAAAACAACTCGACCAAATGAGTTCAAACTCAACTCGGTCAAAAAAGCTTGGATCTACAAAATACCTTCATAAAGACTTAACTCAACAAAATAGCTCGCTTAAAGAGCTCAAACTCAGCTTGCCCAATAAGCTCGGACTCAACTCGACCAAAAAAGCTTAGATCTACGAAATGTCTTCATCAAAGCCTAATTCGACAAAACAGCTAAGAAAAAAAACTCGGACTCAGCTCGATCAAAAAAGTTTGAATCTATAACCTACCTTCATAAAGGTCTAATTCGACAAAATAGTTTGACCAAAAAGCTTGGATCTACAAAATACCTTCATAAAGGTCCAATTTGACAAAACAGTTCGGTCAAAGATTTTGAACTCAGCTTAGCCAAAAAAGCTTGGATCTACGAAATACCTTCATAAATGTCTAATTTGACAAAACAACTCAGCCAAAAGAGCTCGGACTCAACTCGATCAAAAGAGCTTGGATCTACGAAATAACTTCATAAAGACCAAATTCGACAAAATAGCTCGATCAAAAGAATTCATCTCAACCACCTTGATCAAAGAGTTTATCTCGGTAAATTACCTACATGAAGGCTTGATTGGGCCATCTCAACCAAATAGTTCAGCTCGGACAAAAAAGGTCACCTTGGTCAAAAGAGCTCATCTCAGCCATTTTGGTCAAAGAGCTCAATTTGGCTACCTCAGTCAAAGAGCTCCTTTCGATAAATTACCTACATAAAGGCTTGGCTCAATCACCTCTGTCAAGGAGCTAATCTCTATCACCTCAGTCAAAAAGCTCATCTTAGTAAATTGCCTACATAAAGGCTTGGTTGGGCCACCTCAACCAAAGTGATTAGCTTAACCAAAATAGCTCACCTCGATCAAAAAAACTAATCTTGAGTCACCCTCAACAATTATCACTTTGACAACCTTTAAACTGATTATGCACTTAATCTAGAACACATGCACGAGATCAAATAACTATTAGGTTAGACCGTGGCTCAAAGCTGATCATCATCCAAAATTGACCTCCTCTTGCAACGTTAGCCTTTGACAAACCAAGCAGCTAATCTATTCCCCCAGACAATCTGTCCCACATCGAGGATATTGGTAATAAATTTGGTGATTTGATACTCAAACCGCTTGATGGGAGAACATAGTATTAAGGGTATTTGATGGTTAAAAGAGTACAGTGGTCTTTTCCTCTCTCAAAGCTTTTAGCAGACAACCAGAGGTCTCTTTGTCATTTGTGCTGACCTGACATGTCAGGTCGGCCTAACATAGTTAGTGCCACCTCAGCTCGACCTTGTCCTAATTGTCCTCTTATGGTCCCATTAAGCTTACCTATAAATATGAAGACTTGGACACCATGAAGGTAGGTTCATCCGATTTATTTCTCTCTCTCTTTTCTGCTTTCTTGCTAACCTGATCTTTACTGACTTGCGCATCAAAGTGCAAACATAGGGAATCCTGCCTTTACCTTTAACCATTCCTCTCTTCTACAAACGTAGGAATATTCTTAGGTTGGAGCTCAACACCAATAGGAATCATGCAAGGTAAAGGTCTCAAAGATGCCATTGCTTGGGGAGAATGGTGTTTGAGCATTGAGCCATAAGAGAATAATCGAGTTATAGAAAGATAACTAAACACAAGCTTTTATTTATCATTCAAATAGCCGGATGTCACAGTTAATTAACCCAACTCATCAGCTAGTTGAACTAGAAAAAGCGAAGCACAAAATCCAGCACACGAGACCAAGAACCATGACTTGTGCCTTTATGCTCAAGGCAGAGTGTAATCTGCAAAATATCAGAAGCCGTTTCAAGATATGCAAATGAAGAAGGAAAATTGAGACTTAAACTTGGAGAATCTTATAAAGCAGAGAAAAATTGTGTAAAAGAATCTGTAAATAATACCATGCAAATAAAAATATACCTCCACATTTGTAACCAACAGGACGATCAGCAATGTTGCAGCGTTTAGGAATGGTCACAGCAATTTCGGGCTTGATTCCAGAACTCTTAGCTGTATTAGAAAGCATAACAGCACAGAGGCATCGTGGATTCTGGCCTATTGTCTTCACCTGTTGGCAGAAACTGTCATACACTTGAGCATTCGAATCTTGTGCTGCCATTGCGCAAGGAGCTAACTTCCAGGCTTCCCTGTCTGGAGATGATCTCCCACAATCACCAGCTCCTTCTGCTATATTGAGCAAGGCAATGCCCAAAATAGCAAGAAGAAACAGAAAGCAGATGTACTTCCTGTCTTCAAATTTGCAATGCATAAACACTTCTCTACTTCAAAATTTATAGTGAAACCAAGCAACTAAAATGGTTTTTAATGAGTAATGCATATGAAACCCACAAATCGAGGTGGAGGTATCACTTGAGAAAAAGTATTTTGTTTATTGCAGCACCTACTACTCCAAAAACATGTGATTAGGCAATTACCTGCCTATTTTAAGCCAATGGCGGTTAGTGCTTGCTAAAGTCATTACTGGGATTCCACTAATCCTTCATCCTGAAGGGCAATATGAATTTGCACCCCAAGCATTTGGCTCAGTAATTGATTATGCATAATTCACAACTCCAAGAGCAGAGTTCAAATGCCCCTCCCTCAAATAAAAAAAAAAAAAAGTGAATTCTTAATGGACCACTTGCATTATTCACCTTCATGCTAGAACCAAGATTATTTGCAGAACCACCAGCTGTTTCTGTTGTTGCAACTTGCATGTTATATCGTTTAGCGTCTGATATCTTTGGCTAAAAACTGTATATTCTGCGTTACAAATTCCTACCGCTTCTTTTAACTGCTGTTTTGTTGCTTTTATCCTGTCCTGTCTCTTTTATAGCCCCATTTCTCTGTCACCGTTTGTTATAGTTTCAATGTAATCTGCTATTTCTTTAGTGAGTTTCTTAAAGATATAGGGAAGAAGATATGTAATCCACCAGCAAAATTTGCAGTTTGGGAAGGGCTTCTGCATTTTTTTTTTTTTTATATCCTTTACTGCCAGACCTGAACAGCTAAGTGCTTTTAGCTTATCCAATCCTTCAGCAAAGGCAAGTTTAGAAGCTTATTCAATTCAAAATGAAATTATACTTCAAGCCTCATTAATTGAACAAAATCCTATAAACATTCCATATATCAGTTAGATTGTTCAATTCAAGTGATCCTCTCCAATATTGAGCCTATTTACAGCATGAATCAGAGAAAATGGTTATTGAGCAGAGCAACAAGAAGCAAATGTTTTGCAAAGACAACTAACCTTTTATTCGGTTTTGCTCAAGGAAACTAAAACTTTTATTTGTTTTTCAAAAATACAACAGTTTATTTATTACTCAAACGGCTGAATGTCACAGTGAAACTCATCAACTAGAATGACTAGCAACAATGACAAAACCCGGAACACTGATATAGCTCATACCAAGTAGTAATACAGGAAGTCGCACCATGGGAGTCTTCACACCTAGATCAGTAGGAAAGCTGCAAGAAATAAACAATAGCCCCATGAGAATGAAACTAACACTAGAAGCATTACATAAAAGCAAATGAGTCAAGCTAACAAGAAAGCAGAGTAAATGATTTGCGAATTCTACCTCCACACTTGTGATCAACAGGACGAACAGCAATGTTGCAGCGTTTTAGAAGGGTCACGGCAACTTGCGGCTTGATTCTAGCATTGTCTGCTGTACGAGAAAGCATAATAGCACAAAGGTAGCTTATATTCTTGAGCTTTTTCTCCATTACAGTGCAGCAATGGTTGGAACTGGAGCTTTCACATCTTGTACTGCTATTGTAACAAGGAGACAGCTTCTCAGCTTCCTTCTCAATGTTATGTTTCCCACATGCACCTTCTCCATCTACCCCATTGAACCCAACAATGCCCAAAATTACAAGAAACACTAGAACATAGATATACTTCATTGGAGCTTCTATTTCTTCAAAGCAATACAGGGACACTTCTCAACAACTTACCTAGAAACAAAGACACTACTCAACAGGTTATACTGAAACAAATAGCTAAAAATTAGCCAAATACATGTGATTTCCACAAATTATAATGCACATGGAACTAGAGAAACGTCTTTTATTAGCTGCAGCACCTACTATTCCAGAACATCTATTCAGAGTTACCTGACCATCAAGTCATCAACAACACCTTGTTTCTCTTACTTCTCTTTCCTAACAACCTTAAGAAACCCATCCACAGTTTAAACATTCATGCAGCGCAAGCCAAAATCAAATCCGCAACGGAATAGTTAGAAAAACAACTGAATGAAGGTATAATTTCAAACCGACCACACAGCATTAGCTTATAAAAACCTAATACCTTACCAAGTTGTTTTCTCCCTTATAGCATGTTTATGGCCAGATAAGCATGGTTTTCGATCTGTTTCTGTGGGCATTCAACTAGAAATTTGAGTTTTTCTTCCAGCAGCTTTCTTGTCTGTAACTTGTTAAGATGACGTTCTAAGACTTTAATGCCCTCAGCAATCTCAATCAACAACTCCTTTCCCTTTTCAGCTGTCAATGGAATACAAACTCTACTCGCTATTCTGAAACCTTGAGCTAATCTCTCAGCCCTACTTGACACCTATACTGCTTCAACCAAGGTAACTTAGATAATAAAGACACTTTCTTCTGCAATTCTGTCAAACTCATCTCGCAAACTTTTCTTCATGACAATAAACCTCCCTTTTTCATTGTGATTTCTCATGAGTCATACTAAAGGGGCACAAATGTTAATCCTTGAAATTTTTTCAATGTGTTTGATCACACCCAGAAGAAAATATGGCTATCCTAGTCTCACATTTCATTATAATCTCACCTAATTATAAAACAATAATAACAACAAAATCAAAAGCTCAAGCGAAAATAAAGCATCAAACAACATGATTTAAAGTTTCAACTTTTCACCTCGGTTCATCATAATTTCACACTTTTATCATACAAGAAAAAGATCCCAAGAGTGTTAAAAAATTGAATTAAAAAAAAAAAAAAAAAAACAACAGCAACGGCAAAAATCCAAATGAAAACATGAACACTCTCAAAGTTCCAATCTTTATACCCTTGTTTCATTATAATTCCAACTTAGATCATACAACAAAATATACCCTAAAAACACTGCAAATTAAGAAAAATCCAAGTAAGAAAATTCAACGTTGTCAAAGTTTAATCTTTTTCTCTGGATTCATTATAATACCACCAAGATCATACAACAACAAAAAATTAACCAAAAAAAAAAAAAACCCAAGTTACAACATTCTCAATATTCCAATATTTTCCCTTCATCTCACTAGAATTCAACCTACATCATACAACAACAAAAAAATCCAAAAAGAAGAAGGCCAAAACTTTAACGAGTAAAAGCATAAAGCCCGACACAAACATAGATCAAAAGGGCAAGCGGGACCAAAATAACAAGAGGAACAACTGCAGCAAACGCATGTCCACTCCCACTAGCCAAAGTCCCAACTTTTATCTGAACAACATTAACCAAAGCCAACATCAAGAACACACATCCCGCAACCGACCCAGCACCCGAAACCAACATCCCGATCCGAAGCAATGTCTTATTAACATTAACATGTTCCAAAAACTCAGAGCCCTGGAAACTAATATGGACGTTGAAAGCATGAGATTTGGAGATCTTGATTGCTTGTTTGAGAGCTAAAGCGACGAGGCTAGAGAAGAGGAAGGAGCTGAAGGAGTAGACGTGGAATCTTATCAAGTCTTCGGCGATTTTTGCGTTTGGGAAACATTGGCTGCCTGGGCTTATGAGGGTGCTGCTGGAATCATAAGGGTTCCAGGTTAGGCCGATGAACACGGCGAGCGTGAAGAGAGAGTTCACGTTCACGACGCTGTCCAGGGCGGTGACATGGATGCTTGTTGTCATGATCGGATGGTGGAGAGTTTCAATAGGAATATCGGAGGGTGGAGATCTCTCCGTTTCTGTTAGTTGATGGCGTTTTAGTTAGCTCGCATTGTTTGCTTAAGTTAGTGAAATTTATGGCGCTTTTTTCTCTTTTCTCGCTGGAAAATGTGTAGAAAAGAAGAAGTTAAGGAAGACGAAAGTTTTTCCGTTTCTCCTTTTCGAAAGATGCTTCGCAGAAGTTTCATTATTTAATTAACTTTTACGTATGCCTTGGAAGTTCTCCCGCAACCCTGCTTTCCTTGGATAAATTACTTTTTAGCATGCTCAATCAAGCGCATTTGGTCTAGTGGTATGATTTTCGCTTAGGGTGCGAGAGATCCCGAGTTCAATTCTCGGAATGCTCCTATTTATGAACAATAAGCCCCATTTCAAGGTTGAATTCAAGGTTAAAGAGAGAATGTGAAGAAACATCTAATGACTATATTTTTATCTTATCTCAGTTACATTCACATTAACACACAGTTAACACCCTATAAAAAACAAAAAAAAAAAAAAGAAAGGTAGGCTGTTTTGATACAATTAGCACTGCTTCACAATAACAAGAATGAGGAACACAACCAAGAAAAAAAAAATGAAATGTCAAAGTATTTTCTACAACCAGAAGTTTTCTGTCATTAATTATTCCAAGCAAAATCTCATGTGACAGTGTATCGCAGAGGATTTTGGCGTGCTCTGATCACATTCTGGTATGCTGATGATTGTTTTAATGTAACTTGATCCTTTTGATTCCGTGAGCTCTCTATACTGTTAGAGTTCAGAACTGATGAACCATCAATTGGATTGCCACATATCTTTGCTTTTGAATCAACTCCAAGATAATTAGTCAAGATCCTCTTCACTCCAAAGCCACGGCGGTGAGGCTTGCTGTTGTTGTTCTCCTTGAGAAAAGGAGTTTTCTCTCCCCTTGCAGGGCTGATCAGCGGTGCAGGTGAAAAGCTTGATGTCGTGATTGCTGTTTTGTACAGAGTGCTCGAGACAGGCACCGAATATGGGATTGAAACCTTTTTGTGTGCAATTGCACTAACTGTAGGAATCGATGACAACTTTTCCGAATGTTTGGTTAAGTCATCTACATATAATACATCATCAATGCGTGCCACAATGTTATATGCCAGGCTTTCAAGAACTCTCGAATAGCTTTCAAGGATGGACTTGCCAATATCCTGAAAGTTTGAAATAAGTTATAATCGAATAGCATTTGGAGGGAGAGTAAAGTAGCCTGCGGCAAAACCAGATACTTTTGGAAAATGGATTCAAACCTTGTTGCACTGGATTTTGCTGGTATCCAAAGCAGTTTGAGTCAAACCAGGAAATCGCTGCTTCAAGCAAAGCAGTAGACTTTCAGCTCTTTCTGTTAGAAATTCTCTCCTGTCTCCATCAACCATTAGGTCTTTTACCATTTCCCATGACGATTTTGTAGTAGATCGGCTTGGATTGATTGGGGGCTTCAAGTAAGATCTTCGACGCCACACATATATTGAGGCTTCGACACGGTTTGCAATCTCAAGAGCAACATGTTCAGAGGATAGATCAAGGAAATCAAGCAGGCACTCTTCTGAGAATTGATCAGATGTAACATACCTATAAATTAGGCCTCCTAGACAAGCTCTTCCATTCTGCAACAAAATTTTGGAAAACTATATGTCACATCACCTTTGAATAGAATAAGGTAAATAACTAACCAAGGTAGAATTTTGTCATCTATATTTGACATATAACAATTAAACAAGGTGGCTCAGTAGCTTGAAAGCAGCAACATCGATTGATAAAATATTATTCTTCTTCTAATGGAGGTAGGTGGCATAACTAACAAACAGTTTGCAATATTTAAGAGATCAAGTAGGAACTTTTGGCATTGTCCATCTACCTAAATGCAGTATGAACAGAAGACATAACAAGACATCAAATTATGTCTAATTTTCAGACCTTTGGAAGAGTGTCCAAGTATGAGTCTGGAACTTCCATTTCTGATAATGAAATGCTGTTGATGGCCATAGCAGCTTTCAATATTTGATTTGTGCACTCACGCGTGTGATTCAATTGCTTTCTTGAATTATCACTTAGACCGCTTGTAGGCACACGGGGCACAGGTAGCCACCACTTGTCCTCCTGACGTTGCAGTGTCTTCCGAAAGGAGACTGACCCATCAGCATCTGGGGCTATAATGCCTTGGTCCACATACCAAAAGTCTGTGTTGGTGAAATTATCTAATATATCCTGCCACAGCAAAAGCCAGCTTATAGTTTTAAAAATGAACGTTTAGTCATTTACCCAAAATTAAAGACAACCATGAACCATAAAGCAAGCATTGTTAGTTCTTACCAGAAGCATATTATCTAGTTTACGCAGGGCGGGGAGATTGATGAAAATATCTGATCTAGGCCTGCAAGTCATGACCTATGAAAAAATGGATGAAACAGTTAAATGACAAGAAACTGTAAATTGGGTACCATCTGATTTGGAAATATGCTCTCTGATTGTTGAGTTTCATAGCTAAAAAAACAGCTGAATTTAGCTTTCAATTACAAACAGTGAAAATTTCAAAAGATTAAAAGATATTCTCTTTTTCCATGCTTTCTCAGCTGACTGCAACCAAAGAGGATGTACAGATTGAGAAAGTAACTTTTAAAATTTCTCATGATTCTGAAATTCTTCTTCTTTTTTTTCCTGTTAATATAACCAAAAATGATTCTGGACTACTTCCAAAGATGACCATTACCTCAAGCTTACTTCCATCTGGAAAATTTTGCCAAGAAGGTATCAACTCAACAATGTGGTCACCAACGCAAACAAGCCACTCCATCTCTCTTTTCCAAATGGATTTCTTTTCCTCAGGTATAGGCTCTAATCTCCATAATTGCCCAAATATAGTAGCTACATGTAGTATTTGCAAATTGAATAAAGTCCACAAACGAACAAAATCAAATGAATTGGAACAAGAACCCCAAAAATCCATAAGTTCAGAGAGAGAGAGAGAGAGCATACCACAGAGATTGGTAATAGCATTTGAAATAGCCAAAGCTGTGCAAACCCCTTTTCCTGACCCTGACATGTCTTCACCTAGCAACAATTTTGCAAATCTTTCCTTCATCATATCGATCTCTACTCAAAATTCCAAAAAGAACAAGAATTAGACTTAAAAAAAAAATAAATCAAAGTTTGGTCTAAATTGACCAAACCCGAAACCAAAACCATCTTAAAGAAAACAAATTCATGTGGGATTTATGGAATGGCAGAAAGCTACCTCTGCCTACCAAACCAAACGCCAGAAAGCCAAAATCCAAAAATTTAAACTTAAAAGCAACGTTACTAACCATTAATCTTTGAAACCAGATTTTTAAATTTGTCTTCGTCATTACTGATCTTGTCTTCATTTCCATTTCCATTAGAAACATATGAATTCTTGGACACTATAGGAGGAGGAGAAGGAGGAATAGCTGTCATTATAGGCCAACCCAAAAGAAGAGGAGGTGAAGCTGAAGCAGACCCTGACCCTCTAGCCTTATTATTAACCTTAACTTTGTCAACCAAATCCCCTGAACTTGACTCACTGGAACTACTACTACTACTACTACTCTCTTTAGACTCACCACTATTATAACTACTCAACTCACTCACAGTCCAATCATCTTTCTTCTTCAACAAAGCCTCCATATTTGAAAAGGTGCTAACTTAACTAACTACCCTTTTTCCTTATCTCTGAAAAACATATACAAAAAAAAAAAAAAAGCCAAGTCTTTGCGTCACAAAGAGAAGAGGGTTGCTGGGGGTAGGGGTGGGAGAGTAAAAAGATTTGATTTTTGAACTTTCAGAAGAAGAAGAGCAGATGGACACGTGCCATTTGGGTAACGACTATCTTTGAAAAGTTGGTTTTTGATCGTTGGGTTTGTTGGATTTGCTTTTCTGTCTACAAGAGTTAGAGAGATTCTAAATACATCACCTTTTTATTTTTAATTTTTAAAATTTTTATAAGTGAAATTATTTAATTATTTATTTTTGTAAATTTTCAAATATTAATCATATTTCATAAATTTTATAACTTATTAAAAATGAATTTTCATAAGTCTTGGTAAAAAGTTTTTAAGAAAAATTTTTATTAATTAGTATAATAAAAAAATTTATTATTGAAAAAAATCATAAATTAAAATTAATAAAAAATTTTAATTTTACTATTTTAATCTTAAAAAATAAAATTTTATGAGATCCTAAATAAATTAAGAATAAAATAATAATTTTAATTTTTTTATAAATTTAAAATTCATCATTTTTTAATAAAATTTTTTTATATTGATTATTAAAATTTTATAATAGTCTAACTAAATTGAACTTTTCTAAAAGTTTCTTTATCTACTTATCATGATAGGTTTCTCTAATTAGCATATAAGATTTTGAAAAAAATTATGTAATATTTAATAATATTACTTATACAGTGTTAAAGAGTTTTAACTCTTAGATGTTAATCAAACATAGTAGTTCATTCATCAACCTTTATAAAATCAAGAGATAAAATATTTAATTATGACCCCATAAAATTTTATTCATTTTCTAAGGTTAAAATAATAAAATCAACTTCTTGTCTATTAATTTTAAAATTTATGATTGATAGAATTAACAAAAAAATATGGATAGATAAAATTTATTATAAGAGATCACAAGGGCTAGGTGGTAAGAACTACAGCGTTCAAGGGCCAACAAGCAATTGATGCATGTGTGATAAAGCATTGGTAACGGTGAGAGCAATGGAACGAGCGTTTGATATAGGATGTAGGAGAATTATCTTAAAAAGTGATGCCATGATAGTGGTTAAAAGCTTATTGAAAAAGGATGGGGACCTATCAGACATAGATCCAATTATGCTCGATATGAGAAATTAGATGAGGCAATTTGTGATACCGAAGTATCAACACATTTTACAATTTGGGCTGAAACTAAAAAAGAGTTATCTAAAGCTAAGACGTGCATATCCTTAGTCTTAATCCACTAAACAAATACAAAAATAATGTAAACTGGACTAGAGAGATTGTGTTCACACTAGCTAAAAAAAAAGTATAAAGATGATTGAGATTACATATAGATATATGGATGAACTTAGAGACCAGATATTAGGCACATTGTCAATGTGAAAAAGCTATAATTTGCATGAATTAATGGGCAGCTCATTATGTTCACACTGTAGATTATTGTATTCAATTCAAATCCCATAATTTTAGGCCCCATTTCAGCAAGACAAAATTAAAGGTAATCTTATCAATTCAACAACCCAAAAAAAGTCTATCTTTGAAGTACTTATGCTTAGAGAGATGTTTCAAGCCTATTTATTTTTAGTTATTACTTGTACTAGGGAGAGTAGAGTTTGTTTATCCTTAAACAATCTTTTAAATTGTTCTTATAGTTTTTATCTCTTAGGTGAATTTTCTATAGTGTTGAACTTCTATAGTTCTAAGTCCAAGCATAGTATTCCTAAGATGGTGATTTTTGTATCCTTAAAAGATTGTTCTTGGTGGTAAGTTTTGTTTCTTGCAATTTAATAACTAATATCTATTTTACAGAGCCTATTCCATTCTATTAGTTATCCATTTCTGTTAGGCCCTTTTAAAGTGTTCTTATAGTTTCTGTATCCATCAGCCCTAAATAACTTAACTACTCATTATTGGTATCAAATTAGTATTAGAGCTATGACAAGTCATCATCATCAAACACCAATAAAAGATGTTGAAATCGACACCAAAATTGTAGCAGCTCCATTTATCAACCCAAGAGATGCCTTAATATAGGAGATGCAATAACAAATCCTCCAATTACAACAATAGTTGCTCATGCAAAAAAAAAAAAGAGGTGATAAGGCACAAGGAATGAGGAATGAAAAGAAAAAAAAAAGGCTAATCGATACCATTAAAATAGCATCGATTCTGATGATAGCACCCCACTTCACCTAAGGCAAGTGAGAGATCACCTATGTAGAAACTAACCTTAACACAACATGTTTAGCCCGAATATAAAAATTTTTGAGTTCGAAGGGAAAACATAGCCTGAAGAGTTCTTAGATTGATTGCACATAGTGGAATGCATCTTTGAATACCATGATGCCCTCGAGCACCATAAGATAAAGCTAGTAGCCATCAAGCTTAGAAAACATGCATCCTTTTAGTGAAAAATTTTAAAGAAGTAAAGGGAGACAAATGGTAGAAGCAAAATTGTAATTTGGGAAAAAATGAAGAGAGAATTGAAGAGGATCTCTCAAATAACTTTTAGCAAGACATCTTTTTTAGGCTCCATAATTTGAAAAAAATGATCTCTCAGAAGAAACGTATACGACTGAGTTTGATTACTTTATGTTGAAATATGAATTAGTGAAACAATAAGAGTAGACTATTGCACTGTATCTTAAAATGTTAAAGAGAGAGATAGCCAATTGATGTAGTTACAACCCTATTAGACTTTTAACAACTTATGCAAGCTTGCCTTTAAGGTGGAAAGGTAATAAAAGAAGGCCTATGGTAGCAACTTAGATTTAAGTCTCGAAAAGGTTATATCAATAGAGATGGCTCATCCAAAACTATTGTTTCTTTTAAGCCCATTCTAAAACAGCCCTAAAAGAAAAATGAGTCTTAACTAACAAGCCTCAATCTAGCATATAAATCAAAAGATGTTTTAAATATTAAGGGCTTGGATACATTGCTTCAAAATGCCCAAACCAAAATATTGTGACACTAGTGGAGGAAAACTTGGAAAAAAATGATTATGAGCTAGTTAAAGAGAATCAAGATTTTGAAGAGGAGGAAGAGGTAACCTATGATGATTATGGAGCATCCTTAGTCACACAATGTAACTTGAGCATCGCATTTGCTAAAAAAAAAATATAGGTAGCACAAAAATGTGTTCCACATTTAGCGTACTATCCACGATAAGATATGTGATGTTATAATCGATAATGGAAGCTTTAAAAATGTTGTTTCTACTTTTATGATACAGATGTAGGCCTTAAAATGGTGGATCATCCATAACCATATAAGATATTTTAATTGTAAAAGAGGAAAGAAATTAAGGTCAACAAAAGGTGTTTGGTTTTTTTTTTCCATATAAAAATAATACAAAGATGAAATGTGGCGTGATATAGCTCCTATAGATATTTGTCATTTGCTACTTGGAAGACTTTAGCATTATGATAGGAGGATTTTTTATGATGGCAATCGTAACATTTACACATTTGTTAAAATATAGATGCAAAATCATTCTAGGTCTTACCAAACCAATAACTATGCCAAAACCAACCAAAAGATAAAAACTTAGCTTTTTTACCTAGGCCAATTGCAATAATGATATTGAAATGGGTGGCATTATGTATACACTAGTGCTAATTAAGGAGAATAAAGATAATAAGAAGCTTCCTATAATCATAAAACCGTTGTTGGAAGAATTTTAAAATGTTGTTTAATAAAAGTTATCAACTAGTCTACCACCAATGAGGGACATTCAATATTGCATAGATCTCATCCTAAGAGCTATTCTACCTAATAAGGTAGCTTATAATATGAGCCCTAAAGAGCATGAAAAGTTGTAATGCCAAGTTGATGAATTGGTAAGAAAAAGAATAAACACGAAAGCATGAGCCCTTATGTAATCTTAGCCTTTTTAGTGCCTCAGAAAAATAGATCATGGCGCATGTGTATGGACAATAAGGTAGTCAACAAAATCACAATTGATTATCATTTTCCTATCCCATGCTTAGATAACTTGCTAGACCAACTACATGGGGCAACTATTTTTTTAAGATAGACTTGTGTAATGGCTATCATCAAATCAAAACGAGGCTGAGAGATAAGTGAAAAATAACCTTCAAGATAAAAGATGGTCTCTACAAATAGATGGTAATGCATTTTGGTTTATCCAATACTCTTAGTATTTTTATGAAATTTATGAATCATATCCTTAAATCTTGTATGACATATTTGTAGTAGTATATTTTAATGATATTTTGGTGTACAGCAAAGATGAAGACCAACCTTAAGTCATCTATACAAGCTATTTTGTATATTGAGCGAGCAAAAGCTTTATGCTAACCTTAAAAAATGTAAGTTCTTTACTTCTAACCTTGTGTTTCTAAGATTTTTGGTGTCAAATGAAGGAATAAAGATGGATCGTAACAAGGTTGAAACAATTTTAAATTGGTTAACACTAGCATCTTTACATGACATTCGAAGCTTCCATTGTCTTGCATCTTTTTATAGGTGTTTCATTAGGGGTTTTAGCTTCATTGTGGCTCTTATCACCAAATGTTTGAAGAATAAAGCTTTTAAATAGACAAAAGAAGCCCAACACAACTTTGAGCTTATTAATATGAGGATCATCGAAACTCTCATCTTATTTTTACTAGATTTTGATCAAGTGTGAGAGATGAAATGTGATGCACCCAATTCAAGAATAGGTGCTATTTTAAGCTAAGAAGGAAATCCTATTACATTTTTCAGTGAAAAGCTTAGTAAAGCCAATAAAAAGTATTCAACCTATGATAAAAAGTTTTATGCCATAAATAGAGCTTTATTCCATTTGAGTCAATATCTCCTTGGCAAGTCATTTGTCTTATATTCAGACCATAAGGTCTTGAAGTTCATCAATAGTTAACATAAGTTCAACCAAAGGCATTCAGCTTGGGT